AATGGCAAAGACACCTAATCTCAGCATTGCACATATTAACATGTCAGAGCACAGAAATCGCCCGGCTTCGATACTTGCTAATAAAGTCTACTTTATTTCACGCCTACACGATCTGCCGGTGAGGGTTAGGTTGAATGTGCTGCACATGTGACGACATTATTGCTACTTGTATTTTGAATCGGATACATTCAGGGGCACATCGGTAGATTTACGGAGCTGTCATTTGTTAGGCAGATTGTCAAAACGAGAAGTCGTTAAACTGCAGCAATACAAACGAGTTGCGCTGGAATTTGTCGGGATGCTGTACTCAGTAAGTAAATCTTACAGGTGTTTCAACGGCCTCCGAGAAGCCAACACAAGATGTTATGGGTTATTATGACCATGTAGAATCAATCATTCTGGATAAATCCAAGCTGATAATTTTGTAATTTAAAAAAAAGTCACTGACGTACCTGTTCACTATCACCACTGCAGGTGTGCAAAAACAAATGCGGCGAGCTAACAGCTTAAAAACTAGAAGGGGGGGGGCAGTGAAACCGGTTGAATGCACGTGTGTTAACATTGTTCACATGAAACATTTCAGTTTAGGGTTGCTATTGGGACGTTTGAGTTAATCAAAAAATGTAATAATGCATTTGAAACCAGTTCGAAGAATGTCAAATGATCAAACGGTTTTTTTATTCATTTCCTCCCCTTTTTGTTGCCAATTGAAGCTAAACTTGAGTAATTTGATATTTAAGCTGCTTTCAATTCTTTTATGTACAATTACACATGCTAGATGTGTATCGGTGAAGTATTTCAATTAAAATATAAATCATAATGTAGCCAAAGTTTTGAAACTTCCGTTGCTGTGCTGTCTGTTGAAAAGGCGCTTGAAAAGACAACATGGTTAGACATTTAATTAAAGATAATAGTTAACTTCTGTGTTCACGGTAATTTTTTTTTAAGCAGTTGCATGCTTTCAGTTCTGAAACGAGACTGTCTCTGCGCTAGAAAGACAAATTATCTCCCGACTACTGAAATCCGCCATTTATTCCCCGTTAATATACGGCTGTTTTTTAAAGAAGTTGAATCTTCATTTTTTTGTACTACCTTGGATGCATCCACTGTTAAGTACTTAACAAATAATTAAGAAGGTAATGTCCATTCCCCCACCCCACCGACAGTACAATTACATTTCAATTTACTAGAATGGGTCAAAATCTCAAACCCACCCGAGTTAAAGTAGCAGACTGCTAACGACACTGTTTCGGCGGTGGGAGTGGGCAGTGTGTGTCGCAGTTTGATGTTAGGGCCCAGGAGTGAGAAGCTGGTGGATTTTCTTTGTTGTGGTTCAAGGTGCAACAGCTGAGATCAGTTACTGAAACATTCCTGTTCTGTCTTGCAGCCGGCGTTGCACGAAGCTCGCTGCAACTTCCTAGTCCTTTGAATGCAAATGCAATTTCAGTGAAATAGTCTAAGCTGTTGTATTATGTGCGTGAAACAGTGGGAAAAGGAACGAAGTTTCCCGCAGTTCCTGAAACGGGGCAGTGCTATGAAGAAAGACAGCCACTGCTGTGGTAGCAGTGAGGCTGCGGCGCTGCCGCTCTAATGAATGATTGAATCCGACTGCGGCACCTTGATATCTGATTCAAGGCACGCTGCACTGACACAGTCTCTTTTGTCATTAACTGCCCGCTATCCATGTTTCTTTTAATGCCTAGCTTCCGAATGCTAGCACTGCATCGGTTCCTGTCCCCCTATTTATTTTAATTCTCGGGGTACGCACTAATCCAGGCAATTACAGGAACATCGCTGTGAGATGGAGAAGTCCAGTAATATGCCTTCAACTATCAACACCCTGAACGTTTAATGTCGAGGTTGAATAGAATAAAATGGCTGCAAAAAGGATTCTCTCCCCCCCCCCCCCCCACTCCGCAGGTGTTAATAAAACATGTAGTATTCCAATCCTCCAAACGTCCCTCTCTCACACTCAAAAGATTCGCCACCTTTTATTGACACTTCGAGTGAAGAGGACATTTGGAAGAGACAAACGATGAATGTGCCAGATCTGAAGTGCTGCTCTTTTTCCTTTACAGTGAAGGAGCGCGCCCAAGTCCTCACAATGACTGGGCTGTGTCCAATAATCGGCTGGATATGAACCCACAGCCTCCCTTATTTACCAAACAGCGCTGCAGGGTGTCTACCCAGTGTTCCACACCACCAGCTGAATTGTCATTTTACGGCGATATCTTTGATCGATCCCTGTTTGATGTGCCGATAGTCAGCTACCATGATAAAGAAGAGTGCAAGGTCAAAGCGAAGAGTGAGAGAGGGGAGTTGATAAGCAGTTGGGAGATAGTAAACACTTTAACAAAATCAACTTTAGGAGATAACAAATACTGCCGATGCTGGAGTCAGAGATAACACAGTGTGGAGCTGGGGGAACACAACAGGCCAGGCAGCATCAGACGAACAGGAAGAACTTTCCTACTCCTCTGATGCTGCTCAACTTTAGGAGAATCAGCAGATCCAATATTTGGTTTTGAGTGGCGAGATGTCATGTGGAATGGGCAATGTCAACTGCAAGTTACAGTTCTCTTCCGAGCTTTGTTCTCAACTGGGGGGATCCAGTGTGTATGTGTGTGCGAATGTGTGTTGCAGTTAAAGCTGCGAGACTGGTAGCCACAGACCGAGGTCTATGAGTACATTGTTCGCATTTAGTTCCCGAACAACCGCAAAAGACAAACCCAACCCGATGCCACCATCATCTCACCGCCCCAACCCCATCCTGCACGCACACACACCCACAGCAACCCACTTTCTAAACATTTGACCTTTGAGCCCGTGACTATGTAAAGCGGACAGGGAAAACTCCCACGATCATTTGAAACCAGGCAAAACTGGAAAGCATTTTTATATTCCAAACTGGAATTCAACACTTGATCCAGGCAGAGCTGAGGGTAATAGACGACTCTCCGCTAAGTATCACTCCTCGGGAAGGTTAAAAAGGGGGGCAGTGTAAACTCTTCGAAGGCCCGCATCACTATAGCAGACTGTGATGTAAGTGATCTCCACCATTTGTTGTTTTCTGTACAACTCCAGCAGAACGCCACCAACTAACACATCTTCCCCTCACTCCGCCGTCTTCACTTCGTAGGGATCGTTCCCTGCGGGACATGCTAGTCCATTCCACCACCAAAAGCTGCACGCCACTGCACTTTCTCATCTAACCGCAGAAGGTGCAATACCTGCCCTTTCACCTCCTCCCTGCTCACCATCCATGGGCCTTCCAGATGAAGCAGCATTTCACCTGTGCCTCCTCCAATCTCATGTATTGTATTCGCTGCACCCAGTGTGGCCTACTCTACACTGAAGGAACCAAACAGACTGGGTGACCCGTTGCAGACCATCAGTGCGCAAGCATGACGCCGACCTTCCGGTAGCCCGTCATTTTAACACGACTCCGGTTGGAATGCCCACATGTCTGGGCATGCTGCAGTGTTCCAGTGAATCACAATGCAAATTGGAGGAACAATATCTCATCTTCAGACTAGGCACTTTCCAGCCTTCTGGACTGTTGAGTTCAGTAGCTTTAAATTGTGAACCATTTCTTCCCTTCCTGTAGCTTGTTATCATGTTCTCCCCTCACCCCCACCGCCCCACCCACCCTATTCCAGTTCTTTTCAAGTCTGACTGTTAGACACACCATTGTTCTGCCATTCTCCCATATTGATCACTTAATCTGGACTATCAGCATCTTTTCTCCACCAACACCCTGCACCCACTCCACCCGAAACTAATAGCATAAATGCTGTCCCCTCCACACTTCACTTCACCTCTGATGAAGAGTCATCTAAATTCGAAACGTGAGCTTGCTCTCTCTCCGTGGATGCTATCTGACCCGCTGAGATCTCCAGCATTTGGTGTTTTCGTACCAGAGCGGGATCCTCCTCGGTGCAGGTTGTCTGTTCCAAAGTCACTCCTGCATTGGTGCTGACCTGCTAACACTCCTAGACGTTAAGCGTGTTAAACACCAATATTATCATTGTATGTAAGATTTTTTTTTAAAAAAAGAACACGTATCTCTGAGCGAACAAGCTCCCTTCCCTTTTATATATGTGGGAAACACCGGGATCAGCAGCGGAGACGCGAAGGCAGCTTCAAAGCAGTTTCGGCAATGATGCATTCTCAAGGTCACACTGAATTGTACGCCTCGATCATTGTGTTTGAATCAGTTTGAAGTTCAGAAAAATAAACTCGCCCCAAAGAGACCATAACCCGAAGAGACAGCTATTCACATTGCCATGACAGTCATCGTTAAGGTATTAGAGATAGCCCTGCTTTTTCTTTAAGGTGCTGTGTGTTCTACTGTGTGACACGCTTGTACTTTTAATATTAGTTGCCGTGTTACTTCAGCTGAAACGCAGCGCCAGTGAAGGGGTCTTCCAGTTTGCACAAGGGCCAGATTATGGCCAGTCCGCCACCGCAACGTGTAATATTCGCCTTGCCACATTCCTTGCACGGTTCCTAATGCATCAAGCAGAAACAGGACTGGCAGTCAGAGTGGGGGACGTTGCTAATACAAAGCGCAGGTGGAGAGAAGGCAGATGGTGCCCTCGG